TCTGAACTTGACAAAGAAGAAAGCAACTGAGCAGGTACAGCGTTGTTGCATTGCTGCCCTCTCCTTACTGACTGCGGTTGCATTGTTGCTCTCTCTTTACTGACTGCGGTTGCATTGTTGCTCTCTCCTTACTGACTGAGGTTGCATTGTTGCTCTCACTTTACTGACTGTGGTTGCATTGTTGCTCTCTCCTTACTGGCTGTGGTTGCATTGTTGCTCTCTCCTTACTGGCTGTGGTTGCATTGTTGCTCTCTCCTTACTGACTGTGGTTGCATTGTTGCTCTCTCTTTACTGACTGCGGTCATAGTGTGACCAACTGCTTCAAGTCCCTGGTGATTTGTTTTCCTGGCCAGGATGGACTGTACCCTTGAGCTATGAACCAAAATAAGCCTTTCCTCCTTGAGTTCCTTTTTAAAGAGTGTACAGCACCAGAAACAGAAGAGAAACTAAGATGGGAGAGTCCTAAGGATGGAGAAGGGGCTGTGAAGAAGGAGCAGAGTGGGTAAGAAAGAGTGACAGGATGTGAATGTGATCAAAGGTGATTATAGTCACGTGTGGAAATGTAACAAGACTGTTTGCTTAGCAAAATACATACAAAATGGTACACACTAATTCATGAGGAGAAGCAATTATATAAAGGTGGAACTAAGATTCTGGATCAAATCAGAAAAAAGAGGATAGAGCTGCATTTGCACCTCATGTGCCCAGCTGTGAGGCTGCTGACATCTCAGAGATTCTTGTTTTGCATTCAGAAAAGCCCTTTGAATTTAAATGCCCAACTATTTTGCACACAGGGGAGGTTGGGGAGACAACAGAACTTTTACCAGCTAATCAAGATGAGAGAAGAAAGTAGCCAGAGCTAGTCTGAAAGACTTGAACCAAAATATAAACTCACACACTATGGTGCTCAGAGTTTGTGTAAAATAGAATCACTAGCAAGTTTGGCACATCTATTAAAATGTTAAAACATACTGCAGTATCCAACTTAAATAACTTCTATTTATTACTCAGTATTATTCAAATCCCTGTCTTTCACCTCAATATGAGTAATTTGAATTAACTGTAGTGCTCTCCTTCAGAGGACATAAGAATTGAAAATTGAGATCTGTATCAACATCATGGTAAGACAGACTCAAAATGTGTTTTTGTATCATTTTAAAGATGACTAATTTATTAAGCTTGACACTTATTTGGATTAAGTGGATGTGGGTTCCATGTGCCTTCTTTGTTGAAATTATATGCCATTGAGTATTAACACAAGCCATGTTCTTTCAAGTAGTGTTGCTCTGACTCTGTCAAATAAAAGGTATTTCTAGCTGAATGTGGTGGGCACAACTATAGTTCTAGCACTTCATGGGCAGAGGCAGGGGGATTAAAAAGCTCAAGAAAAGCCTGGGCTTGACTGTGTAGCAAGACCAACTTGTGATATAGCACAAACAAACAAACAAACAAACAAACAAAAGAAATGTATGTGTCTAGCTCACAAACTGGGTTCAGACTTCAGAAGAGTCATTTTCAGACTTGTTTTAATGCACAAATTACCAAGGCAGAAGGAAGAGACCAAATACAATGATAATTAGAAAGAAGTAGTTGCCTTTGTAAGGAAGTTTTGAGTCTTGATTGGTAAGTGGTTTTTAGCATGATACATGGTTTTCCTATATAGTATCTGAATAATTTACCATGAAAATTAAAGACATATGCCAATGCAAACCTGTGAGACTACAGTAAGATTTACTCATGTATTAATTTATTCATCAATAACTTATACATATACACATGTTAATTTATATACAAATTCATATACTTATTATATGTGTACATGCATGAAGACACCTCCCTCTCCTATTTGATACTACTGTATTGTCCTAACTTCTGCAGGAGATAAGTGATGCAATACTGCTGTAGAATAATGCTTTTGTACACTGGTTTGATAAAATGCTGATTGGCCAGTAGCCAGGCAGGAAGTATCGGCGGGATAAGCAGACAAGGAGAGTTCTGGGAAGAGGAAGGCTGAGTGAGGAGATGCCATCCCACTGTCCAGGGAGCTGCATGTAGTGACACACAGGTAAAGCCATGGAACACATGGCGATACATAGATTAACAGAAATGGGCTGAGTTTAAATGTAAGTGCTAGTCAGTAGTTAGCCTGAGCTAATGGCCAAGCAGTTATAATTAATATAAGCCTCTGTGTGTTTACTTGAGTCTGAGAGGATGCACACCAGGCAGGATATAGGAAAACTTCTAGCTACACAATACAAAACTCTAATCTTCAAAGTTTATTTTATGGTAGAAGAGAAATGCATACATTAATACATTACTATTTAATCAAAATAAAATAGTGGAAACACAAGTGATGACAGAGGCAATATATGATTCAGAGCTAACATAACATCATAAATAGGCATACTTTGAAAATTATTGTAAAGCAGATGCAGTGAGACTAGGGATATTTGGTGAATTTATGAAGTGCAGCAATGTGTGAAAGTGAGGCTGTGAAATAGAAATGGGAGAGGGAGAAGGTGGGGCAGGAGGGAGGGAGGGAGGATGAATCTGACTGTAGCAGTTGCAAGTGATGGGAAATAAGACTGGGAAGGAAAGCTGACCCCAGACTGTCAAGAGTCCTAAATGCTGGTGAGTAAGTATCTTTGTAATGGTAGAAAGTGACATCTTGGCAGAAAAGTGGCATATAAGGTTGTTTTAAACTGGCAGTATATAATTTCCATAAGAGACATCACTTGCAAAATTTCTAAGTAGGAATTTACAAAAACCAGACCAAAGCATACTCAGGGAGAAATAAAGATATATAGAAAGAAGCTGATAGTAGTTGATGGATCTGAGTTAAAATCAGTGATGACTTGAGAGGAGTCACACTTCTTTAGAAGAACTTAACAGAGCAGAATTTGGTTACATATTTGATTGTTTCTTCTGAAGCAAGCCTTCCCAGGAGAACTTCATGAAAATGTAGGATAATTTTTTTTTTCTTTCTGTGACCAGTATGGTTTCTAATAGCCTATGATGGCTCTTAAGTACTTGAAATGTGGCCAATGCAACTAAGGAACTAAATTTAAAATTTTAGTTAACATAGGTAAATTTAAGTTTATTTAAATAGATTCATATAAGTAGTGGTTATTATACTGAACAAAGTTAGCATGCTTGAAAGTATATGCCTCTCAGTCTAGAGAAAACACTTGCTAAAGTACATAGGATTGACATGTGAATTTCTTTTGGTAACAAAAAAATGTCATTTAAAGAGCTGGAGGGATGCCTCAAGAATGCTTATTCTTCAGTCATGAGGACCATCATTGAGATCCTGACACTCACAGAACAAGCTGGTAGTCCCCACTGATTTCTGCAATCTCAGCTCTGAGTAGGGCAGAGACTAGATGATGGTTGGGGCTTGCTGGCTTCTAGCCTAGCTGAATAAAACAAAAGATCCAAGTCCAGTGAGAGATCCTGCATTGAAAGAGGCAAACAGAAAGTGTTAGAGAAGAAAATCTAGTGGTCTCTTTTGATGTCTGCATGTATGCACTGGCCCACACACTTTCAGACATGTATACACACATATACAGACACAAAAAAATGAATGAATAAAAATACATTAAAATTCCTAATTGGATTCAAGGCTTATTCCTTGGGAAGGAATAATGTCTAGTATTGTAATGGTGGCCAGAAGCATTTGAAAAAAAAATGCTTGTTAACAAATTGACCAACACTACTGGTTAGTTTCAAATGTCAACCTGTCACAACCACGAATCACCTAAGAGAGCCTCAATTGAGGAAACCAAGATCAGGTTGTTATGTGGGCATGTCAATAGGGGGATTGTTTTGACTGTTAATTGGTGTAGAAGGACTCAGCCCATTGCGGGTGAAACATTCCTTAGATGAGGAGCCACGAACTATGTGAGACCAGAGAAAGGTGGGGATGAAAGCTAGCTGGTAAGTAGGCAGCATGATGGGCGCATTTGTTCTTTTCTGCTCTTGACTGTGGGTGAGGTATGACTAGTTGCTTGAGTTCCTACCTTGACTTCTCATCAACAATAGACCGAAACTTGAAATTGTGGGCTAAATAAACCATTTCCTCCCTTATGTTGCTACTGGTCAGGGTGTGTGTGGTAGTTTGAATGAAAAATAGTCCCCATCAGCTTAGGTACTTGAACACCTGGCCCCCAGTTAGTAGTGCTTTCTGGGAGGTTTAGAAGGCATGGCCTTCCAGAGGAAGCACACCATTGGGGATGGGCTTTAAGAGACATCCCCACTGGTGGTATGACTGTCGAGGTAGTAACCAACTAATTCCTAATTAGATTCAAGGCTTATTCCTTGGGAAGGAATAATATCTAGTATTGTAATGGTGGCCAGAAGCCTGTGGCTGGGAAGGCCATATGCTCTAGAGGAAGCTACTATTGATGTTTTGCTAAATGCAAATGCAGTTATACTGCTTTCTAATGATGTCTACACCAATAGACCAGTGCAGCTCTCAGCCTTCCTCAGGGAAGCTTCCTTTGGCAGTGGGTGATGGTCGGTACAGACTCCTAACTGGTCCAAGTGCTGAGAGTAAGGGACAGTTGAATGCTCAACTCCAAGTGAAACATCTATATTGCCCTCTCTAAACTCAAGGAACATCATGTAAGATGGAGTAGAAACACTGTAAGAACTGGAAGATGGGGAGAGGTACTACAAAATACTGTCTTCTGGATATGACATGGCCATTGTAGTCATTAATACACAGTAGTTGTGATCATCTACACAAAACCTTCACACACACACATACACACACACACACACACACACACACACACACACACACACACACACACACACACCATGAAATCAGGAGAGAGTTAAAGGGATTAGCTGAGGAGAAGTATATCCGAAGAGGATAAGAGAAAGCGATGGACAGAGATAAATACAACCACAGTACATTGTGTATAAGCACAAAATTATCAAAACTTAAAAACTGATGATTTTACAATACAAGTTATAATGGAATTTTGTCCCTGATTTGGCTAATAGGAAGTGAAGAAAGTCTGCATCCAAAGAACTCTCAGCAGAGACCTGAGCTGTGAATAGGAATTAGCTGAGAGGAACAAAGGTACCCGTGTTTCTAGCAGGGATTCTGTACTTTTCTAACATTTTTATCTGTATGTCTGTATGTGTGTATGTCATATGTGTAAGGGTACTAGTGGGGACAACATTAAGGTGTTGGATGGTCTGGAGCTGGAGTTACAGGACGTTGTGAGTGGCCCAATGTGGATGCTGGGAACTGAACACAGGTCCTCTGGAAGAGCAGCAAACTCTCTTATCCAATGGGTCATCTCTCCAGCTCCAAGAGAGCATTCTTAACATGTTTAAAAGAATACTGCACTTAAGAACCTAGGAAAAGCGCTTTTGGACACAAGTGACTTGTATTTATCCTAAGGAGGGAGAATGAAGTCCATCTTGAGTTATTAAATGTGGTTTATGTGCATGATTTCTTCTAAATTAAATTTTTGCAGACATACTGCCCTGTTTCACTAATTTCTTTACCTCTTTCTCTGTAACACATGGGATTTCTGAGTGAGGCATTAAATAGTTGCTCTCAGTTTGTATTGCTTCTGTTATATAAACTTAGATGCTCAGTGTGAAAGTGCTAATTGTCAACTTGATAGAATGTAGAGCAAACTGGAAGATGGGCCTCTGGGCATCCTTGTGGGGAATGATTTTGATTACAGTAATTGATGTGGCGGGACCCACCCACTGTAGGTGGCATTATTACCTGCCTGAGATCCTGGCCTATATATGCAGTGAAAGGGAAATGAACAGAGTGTATGTATTCTTTGCTTTCTTCTGACTGCAGGTGTGGTGTGATCAGCTGTTTCCAGCTCCTGCTGCCTCAACTTCCCAGCCATGATTGACCGTAAAATGTGAGATAAAAATAATCTTTATTACTCTTTAAGTTGCTTTTGTCAAGTTATTTTATCATAGCAACAAAAGAGAAACTAAGACAGAAAATGAGATTGAGATTGGGGCTCTTTCTGTGATAAACCTGATTATATAGTTCCTGGGCCTAGGGAACTATTTTGTGGCTGGAATGTGGAAGAGTTTGGAACTTCGTTTACAAAAGTCATAGTATGCTGGAAAAAGAAATGAATGGATCATCCTGGTGGAAACTTGAGAAAAATGTGAACAGTGGAGGCCTGGCTTCTAAGGATTCAGAGAGGAACAAGAACTCTGTGAGGGACTGGGCTAAGGACCATTCATGTGATATTTTGACCGGGAGTCTGGCTTCATTCTATTCATGTACTAGGGACTTAATTGGAGCTGAATTTAAAGATAGTGGATTGAACTGTTTGGTAGAAGAATTTTAAGAGAGGAGAGCATCCAGTCTGGTGCTGAGAAAGCAGCTGTAATTCTTAGAGACCAGCACCACTGAAGGGAAAGCTGTGCTGTGTTGAGCTAACTGTAAAGATTTTCTGAGGGGTAAACCCTGCTCCATGGTGGCCCCAGCTTGTGAAGATCCAAATTCATTTAAATGTAGAGAGCTTAAGCTTCTTAAAAGCAACTGCCTAGCAAAGTGTTTCCCAGGGCTGGCACACAGAAGCTGATGTAGCTGCGGTCAAGGAGGGCCAGCCTCCACCCTCAGCTGGCAGCAAAGAGTGGCAGCTTTGTTCACATGGTACCGGTTTTGAAAGATGCAAGACTGGGGAGTCATGATGAGCAGCTGAGGCAGGCACTGTGTGGAAGGACAGAGTCCCCGGAGACAGCCACTGAGAGTCTGCTGAGTGAAGTGGTGAGGGTGAAGTCTAAGTTACAATAGGGAGCTCAGAATAATGGAGATGACAGGACCATGGAATGGCTGCCTAGCAAAGCTGTGGATATGGAGTGGATTCAGACCTGGAGATAATCTGTGTGTGCTACAGGCAACAGAGATGGAGAGGTGGGCCTGCTTAAGCATTTTGGAGCCTTGCTAAGTACATTATAAGCACTTCATTCCAGATATAGGGCCACAGTGTTTGGTGTTTTCTTTGCTGGATTTTTGTTTTGTTTTGCTGGGATTGTTTCTTGCTGTGCCCCAGTTATTCCACTTTGTAATGGTGATATTCACTTTGTGCCGCTCTGCGTTGGAAATATGTAACTTGACTTTGATTTTATAGGAACTTACAGTTAGAACTTTTGACTTTTAAAGACGTTGGCCTTTCAAACTGCTGGAATTGTTAGAGACTATGGGCTTTTTAAAGTTGTACTCTATTTTTCATTGTGAGATAAACATGAGATTTTTGGGACAAAAGGAGGAAGGCCATGGCTTCAAAGTGATAAGTTTGAGAGTCAAATAGACAAGGGTGGAGTTGTGATGGTTAGTGTTAATTGCCATCTTGATAGAATCTAGAATAATCTGGGAGATGGGCCTCTGAGCATGCCTCTGGGGGATTATCTTGGTTACATTAATTGAGTTGGGAAGACCCACCCACTGTGGGTGGCATCATTCCCTGGCTGGGATCCTGGACTGTATACATGGGGAAAGGGAACTGCACAGCACACATGTATTCATTGCTCTCTACTTCTCACTGTGGATGTCATGTAATGAACCTCTTCAACTGTATTGACTTGCCCACAATGATGGACTGCATCTTGAACCATGAGCTAAAATAAACCTCTTCCCTCTTAATTTTCTCTTGTCAGAATATTTTTAATCACAAGAGAAGAGAAACTGAGACACCCAGTGTCTCTGCCATGGGAAATTGGAGAATTTCTCCCCAGAGGATGAAGAGTATATTTCTCCGCTCTGTTGTTGCAAGACTTGGCCATGTGACTTGTTTTGATAAAGAAATGAGAGCCAAGTGATAGGAACAAAGGGTATAAGTGTCTGAATCATTTAGCTTGGCCTCATATATTTCTGTTTTTCTCCATGAAGAGAGCCTGTCTCCATAAAGGGAGAGACCCGTCTGGTGTAACTACTGGTTAATGACCAGGTGGAAACTTGAACCCAATTGGCAGCCAGAAGCTAAATATTGTTAGTTCAAGATGAGATTAGGTCAACTGCAGCTATTCTGCAGATGTTAGAAACAAAAGAAGTACTGATCAGCCAACTGAGTTCCTGGGATTATTTGTTATATAGCATAATTGCAACAGAAATATGACTAATATAGAGGGGTGGACTCTATTTTTTACTGTTTTAATAGCTAATTATGTTCCAAAATATCCTCATTGAGTGCTTTAAATTTTGCTTATTTCTTTTTAATGTTAAAAAGCTTTGGCATATATTTTGGGGCAGGCCAGTTAAAGCAGTGAGCATTTCATACCTGTTCTTGGGTGCTATCATTTGAATGAGGGGTATGTGCCATAGGTCAATGTGATAAATGTTTGGTCCCAAGGGTAGAACTGTTTTACAAAAGACTATGGTCTTTAAGGAGGTCAATCCTTATGGAGGGCATTTCTCATGTCATTGAAAATGTACTCTCCCAAGAACTTGCAGGTTCCTGGTGTTAGTCTCGCTCTGATCTTGGCTCACATTGTAACCAGTTTGCCATGTCATTTGTTCCAAGCATGATGTGATTTCCGCACAAGAGACACAATGGGCTGCCTGATCTTGGACTGGAAACTCCACAACTATGAGCTGACTAAAACTTTTCTCTTTGCGCAGTTGGTCAGGGATTTTGTTATACTATGTAAAGTTGACTTAATTATTAGCTTTGATAGTGTAGATCATTTGTAGAATGATTTGTGTATGATAAAGAGGGTAAGATAAGTGGCAGTTTTTTCTCACCCCATAAGTGTTCTCAGACATTTAACAAAGCCAGGGGTATGTGGAGAGAATAGAAGAGACAGAAGCTTTTCTCAAACAGATCTCACATTTTAATAGACTAAATGGACAATTAACTCGATCGTTAAGATAAAGAGTGAGGGCACTTCAAAGTACGTGATACACTTGGAAGAAAATAACTTTTGAAGCACATCTTTGTGTACAATGATAAGAAATAAAAAAGCAAAAAATCAAGAGTCAGGAGAATTATGATGGCATGTGAGGGCTTTGGGTATTACCCTAAAGTGATTTCTTCTCTTAAATTATTATGATTAAATGGTACATGATAAGTATTGGCAATAATGTTTTCTCTGCACACAATTTAGAATCTTCCTTCAGCTTCCAAGACCATCCAAGTTTTGGCCCTCATTTCTCTCCTCACATACCCACCCACATATTTTTAAGAGCTGATGTAACTGTAGTTGGTACTTAATAAGTGTCCTGCCATAATGCCTTTGGTTCAAGTCCCAGGGTGAAGTTTGAGATTGGCTACCTCCAGCTGTTGTTTCTAAGAAAGAAATATGGAGCCTGTCTTCTTCAATTTAAAGGCACAGTGCTCTGATATATGTTCAGTATAATGGCTATTTCTTGAGTTCTCTACGGTAAACTGTTCTCTTTCATACAGAAATTCTAAGTCTCTATTAATTTTTTCTGTGTAAGCCTTTCGTGGACTATACCTTAGGGTTTAGGAGTTTGTGTAAAGAATTTTTTAGAAGCATAAACCTGTATAAACCCTTTAAACCTTGACATAAATTCTGTTGAAAGGAAGTGAAATAAAAACCCAGTAATATCCGTCCAAACTGCGTGCTAATGACGGATGAGGGGAATATGGAAGTCAAAGTTTTCTTGACTATTTTTAGGTTTTGACAAGATCCCCTCAGGGGAACTCTGTCATCTTATTACTTACAAAATTGGATGTAGGTCTCGGGAAGTCAGAAGAAATACTGTCTGTTTCTCTTGCCTTCTTGAACTTTTACAGGGCAAAACTTAGAAACAAATGGCCCCAGAGGTGAGAACAGGAGGATCCTGCTTTTGTTCTCAATTCAACAGTCTCCACATTAGAACACCCACACAGAGAAGGACTCTCAGTGTGATTGGGCTAAATTATACTGTCTGAAGGTTTCTATTTTGCAGTTTGCTCTTTCTACTTTTGCCCCTTTCTTGGCTAAATTGAGTATTTTAATCTCCTTAATTGATTTGTTATTTATACTCTCTTTAACAGGCTTTGCAGTTTCCCTGAGTTTACTTCATTTGATTTACTTGTGTGCTTTTATATTATTTCTTAGCTACCTTCTTTGAGTTTTTATTGTATATTCATTATACATTATATATAGTATTGTTATATAAAGCCATTTTCATAAAAGTAAACTTTACGAATTGAGCATATTCACCACCATATATCTCCCACCCTGCCTCTCTGTGCCCTTCACACCCCCTTTAATTTCCTTTGTCTTCTTAGACAATGTCATGGCAGCTTTATGAATCTGTATAGAATCTAGGGATCACATAGAAGAGAAAATGTGAGACAAGGAAAAGTCATTTCTATAGAGTTGTTTCCTTTTTCTGCAAAAAACATAACTTCATTCTGTATGGTGGAGAAATTTCTATATGTATTGCCCCTTTTAATCCATTCTTCTGCTATTGGACACCTACCCTGGTTCCACATCTTCAGCATTGTGAGCAGTGGGTAATAAACCTCATTGTGAAAGCAGCTTTGGTATGTCGCCTTGGAGTCCTGCTGGCCAATAGCTAGGACTAAGACATTTGGTTGATCTATTTTCAGGTTTGCTGAGGAACTTCCATGTTGGTTTCCAGGGTGAGTGGGCTAGTTCTCCTCTGTCAACGTTGTTTCTAGGTTCTCCCCTTTTCCACCCCTTCACCAGCATTTCTTGATATTTGTTTTGGTAATCACTAATTCTAACTAGAGTGAGGCAGAGTCTCAATATTGTTTTACTTTTCATTTCTGTGATGAACAGTGGAGTGGAGTTTTTTCCCCCCACAGGTTTATTGTTCATATGTATTTCCTCTTTTGAGAACTATTTTATTAGTCTATTTGTTCACTGGATTGTTTAATTTTTTTTGCTTGAGTTAGAGTTCATTGTATGTTCTATTTACTAATCTTTT